AGGGGCGGACGTCCCCATCAACCAGCAGCTCTCAGAGCCCTCTACAGTACCCAAGAGCTCAACGCCAAATCAAGCCACCTCCTCCGCTGCGCCTACCTCACCCGAGCGTCGTAGGAAGCGCCAACGCAGCTCGTCCGTCACCAACGACCGCGAAGCCTCGCCTAGGAAGATGAAGAAGCGTCTACGCTGGTCAACCATCACCATCCACGAGTTCGGCGTCGGACTGGGTGGCAGTTCGGTGCCTGGCAAGGGCGGCCCCTCCATCGGTCTGAGCGACAAACCCGAGTTCACATGGACCACGAAGGTAGGCGAGATGGCCGAGTGTGTCGAGGGTGTGCACCGATTCACGTCAAAGGAGCGCGTGCGATTGCTACAGAGTGCCGGTGTGAGCGAGGGCATGATCCTGCGATTCTCGCGGGAAGCCAACATCATCAACTCCTCGCGCAGGAGGACATTTGTGGAGGACATTGCTGAGCGGAAAGAGGCCAAGAAGCAACGTCAGCAGCTACAGCAGTGTAAGATTGAATCACCTCGACCCGCCTGCTCGTCCCCATTCCTCAACCGTCCGCACATGATCCCGGTCAACTACGTGTAAGATAGCAATTCCCCATGTAACCAAGCAAGTCACGAGCGCCTCGCGACCAGAGAAAACGATAGCATGGATGTACTCTTGGCATTTTTGCACAAATCATCATCACAACGGACAGGCGTCGATCGAAGAACAGCCTCCGCCCGACGTTGTACTATTCGTAGAGAAGAAGAGCTTAAGTTATTTGATATTTTTTATTAAAGGACATTGCTATCAGTACAAGCTGCATGCACGCAACATTCTGTTGCTTGGTGTTCCCCATTGCTTCGCCATCGTGGATGTCTCTGCCTACCTGCGACGCTGTCGGCATCCATTTACCTCAGTACGGCTCTGTATACATGATATACTAAACAAGCGCAGCTTATTCAGCTTATTCAACGGATTCCACTCACGTCAGTTGAGCGGCAGTAACCAAGAATATCGAGGAATGCACTCGATGTTGCTGGTGGATAAATCCCTTACAGTCGCTGGCATTTTGGTGGCTTCGGGAGTTGGTCCTTCTAGTATCCTTAAAGCGGGGGTGATGTAGTGATCTCGCTACAGTAGCTGCTAGTACTACCGTTGCAGCTCCATTAGCACGAGGGCCTTTCATGTAATCCGGCGATTCCTTGCGACCGTCATTTGCATGGCCATTTGACGCTTAGCTTCAGCCTGAAGACACGCGACTGTTACAGCTGGTACAGAGGCATCACGCTGCAAAGTAAGTAGCAGGTGATCTCGTCGGATGCGAGCCGCAATGCCACCTAAAAACTCCGTAGCGAAGCCTTGATCCTATTTAATGTACGCTAAGTATCTGTTGCAGGCGTGGCAGTGGAAGGGTATCCGCTGCCACTGTAAGCTAGTACATGGACTTCGCTACATGTACCTTGAAGCAACATGTACCGTCGATACGCCCGCTAGCGGGCGGACACGACTAGGGCAAGCGGACGATGTTGAACTGAGCGCTGACTGGGAAATAACAACGCAAGGCAAGCCACTGAGTGTTTGTAAGTGGATGGAGCAGACCCCCCAAATCTGGTGCTTGCATGGCAGCGGCGCGAGTGAGTGGCCACCCGGCGGGGAGAGGGAGGGGCGCGTGAACGACATACAGCCGACGCCCTCTGGGTCTTTCCTCCATTCCTTCCTCACCCCAGTCCAACAGCCACATACACAGCAGCCATGGCGACCAAGAGCGTACGTTGGTCCACCGTCACCGTCTACGAGTTCGGCGTGGGCATCGGCGGCAGCGCAGTGCCTCGACGCGGTGGTCCAGCGGTGGGGCTGGCTCGAACCCCGCACTGTGTGTGGAGGACGTCAGTGAACGCGGCGCAGCATCAGCTGGAGAAAGCACAGGCGGAGGACAGGCAGGTAACCGCAGGACGACATCGGCGGAGACGCGTGGGCTGGTTGAAGCCGCTGGAGCGCATCACGATGCTGGAGAAGGCAGGCTACAGCGAGGAGCGTATCTTCCGCATGCTCATGGAGTCGTCCAGCATCGCCCAGTCGCGACGGCTCTGTCTGCGTGTCGAGTGTGTGGCCTAAGTTGCATTTTGCACGTGCCGACGACGACCGAGGTAGCATGAAATGGAGTATCAACGATGGGGTGCCGGATACGATGGTGCTAAGCAAAGGGCGAAGACAGGATGGACATTTTTAACTTATAATAATGTAATCTATAGCAGCTTCATTGTGACGGGGTCACACAGCACCTTGCGCTAGAGGAAGTTATCTTCCGAGAGTATACAAACTCTCAGTGAACGGCAGTTCACAAGTCCCCTCTTTAATTAAAGAGAGCGAAGTGACCTAAATAAGGTAGATTGTAAACTGAGTATATTTATAGGTAGGTTAAGTTTGTGGTTAATACAAACTATCAGTTACCTATAGAAATGCAATGTCATTTAACCAATGGTTGGTTTTGAATGACCTTGGTACCTTGTACCAAATATTCCGGAGTATGACATGTCATACTCCTGAAGTGTGAAGTGTCACACTTCATGTAACCAGGGTACACTTAGTGCTACGTACCCCGTTACATCCTCCCCCACTTAGGTTCGGTTTACCGACCAATCAGAATGAAGAGATGTTCGTCACAAACTCTCATTCTCAAAGTCGAAAACCATCGACTCGGCCGCGCGAGCGCGGCGGAGGCTCACTTTACAGTTAGAGCCTCGAGCAGCAACCTGTGCGCTCTTCGTCAAGGTCTCCACTTCGACCGTTAACATGCCTCGTGGCACTGCTAAGAGCGGTGCTAAGACACGCTCCAAGGCTGCAGCCGGTAAGGCGCAGGCCAAGAGCACTAAGCCTCACGGCAAAGGCTCTGCACTCAAGGAGGCTACTCAGGTGGCCTCCGAGGCGATCGGATCCTCGGGTGACGCGGCTGCGGACAAGCGCGCAAGCAGGCGCCGCAGTCCGTCGCCCTCTTCTTCAGACAATTCTTCCGACCCTCGCTTTTCTGAGAAAACGGAATTTTCCATCCGGGCCACGGGAGAACATGCCGAATTTGGAGAGCAACCAAAGATGCTCCTCGGGGCTGGGGGGGAGGGGGAGGGCACAGCCCAGTGCCCAGTGAGCACAAAGAAGACAGCGTGCAGTCGTCCGCTAGTGATCACGGTGATCACAGTCCCAGGACCTCTGTGCGCTCTGAGAGTCCGGCCGTTAAGGCTAAGGGCACTCCCAAAGCCGGTGGCGATGAGGAAGGGAGTCCTCGCAAACGTCTCTCGCTTGCCGAGGGTCTTGCGCGCGCTAAGGCCTCTAAAGCCGAAGGCGCCAAGCCCTCAAAGAAGCGTACCGCCTCTAAGTCTCCACTCCGCGAGGAGAAGGAGACTCGACGCTCCTATCAGAGTCTCTTCGGCTCCTCGGATGAAGAGGAGGAGAAGGAGGAAGAAGAGGAAGAGGAGGGTGCCATTGTTGAGCCCCGGGAGGTCTCGAATGACCTCGACCAGCAGCAGGAGGATTTCCAAGCTGCCCAGCGTGTGCGTGGGGGTTCGGTGGCGGCACCCGTCAGCCAGGGAGCTGCCATCAACTCAAGAGGGTATTGGCCTCCCGAGGAGAGCTCTGGGGCTGACCTCTTCTTAGAGCTTCTCGTCGCTCCTCGTGGCCTTGTGGGCGGCCACACTTCTAGGGGCATCTATGAACGAGCCCTTGTTCAGAAAGAACAGTTGTTCGTCGACAACGTGGAGGCTGCTCGGTGTGTGCTTCTCGCGCCACACCGCATTCCCCTTAAGGACTTCACGACTTGTCGTAAGAAGCCCGAGACCCGGGGTGGTCTCTATCCTGTTTGGGGATACCCCTGGGTTATGACCGAGAACTGTCCCACATGGAGTTCTTGTGAGGACATGTTCTGGGCGTGGGTGGAGACTCTCAAGTACTCGCCCACGGAGTTATGGGAACTCCATGAAGATCAGCAGCTGTCCCACATCCTGGACCAGCGTGATCTTCGTGTGAGGTTTGCCCACTTGATCAGCAAGCGTATGCTGCCAAGGGACATCCTGAAGCGCGCGGCTTCTAGCGCTCACGATGAGCGCGGGTACGGTATGTATTCATCATCCGTACCCCGTTCGGGCAAGAAGCCCCGGACTACTTATGAAGCTGCCGCCGCTTCTGTCCCAGATTGCGACAGCCTTCGGCAGT